AGTGTACGCCTGTTCAGGGCTTTTCAACAATTTACATGAAAGAAGCTGTAGCGATGTTGACATTGCTAAGCAATAGCCCCCCCGGTGTCCTAATCTCCTTCGTTATGGATACACGTTGCGGAGATCTTAATTGTTATTTCATATTTCATACATATTGGTCATTAAAATGTTGAAACTTGTTAAATTGTACATTGCCAAGTCGTTTATTTCAACTCTGTATTCATGGTTATTATTTATAATTAATATTATAAACCTATGTAAACTTTTAAATTCTATTATACAGCAAATGTTAACGTACAATGTGTTTGCGATGTTTGCATTTGTTTATACGTAAAGCAATTATCAACATTTGCAAGCACTAAATTTAACACAGAATAGCAACACAAAAATGACAGCCTATTCCTTTCAAAAATCCACTTTATTCGAAACAATGTCATAGGTATGGTAGTTTATGGATTTACATATTTTTTATTTTTTCTAATTTTAAGGCAATGTTCGCCTCAATTTCTGCCAGTAATGACTTTTTCTCAGCGGCAGTTCAACGCGCAGGTTGTTCACTTTTGGCGATACGGTCAGACCATAGAGAAAATAGAACATTTCTCTATGGTCAGACTACATTTACTCTCGGCCTGATCTGCAAACCTTATAGATTACTTTTTCAGACCTTCAATATCAGCGCAATACATCTTTACTTACTCTTCTTTAAATTATCGAACTCATCTAGCTTAGATTGCCTCTTTCGTGTTTTCAACGCCTCGACTGCCATAACCCTGCCTGCGCTAAAAAAAATATGCTGTACAGTACATAATCAGTCGACAGTGTATACATGCCCAAATTTAGCATGTATTTCACAGTACCGAAAATTATTAGTGCTCCAATGTACCCGCCGCGCGTCTCCTTTGTGTAACGTCAAAGAGCGAGAGCCGCACGTGTGTAAAGTAAAATACTATAGGCATGCCGCCCTACTTTTGAGAAATAGCTACAGTATGCGGGCAACGGTCTGTACTTTGTGTATGAGTATTGAAAAGACAAAAACAAACATTTTTTAGTTTATTTTAATCATGACCTGGAATTTACGTATATCATGCGAAATACGATAAATGTGTAAATAATCAAATTTCCAGGACATTGAAGAATTATTCAAGGACAATCATAAATTTCCAGGAATTTCCAGTACTGCAAAATGCTCATTCGTTTTTCCAGGACATTCCAGAAATTTAAGGAATTTAAGGATGCGTACGAACCCTGCTTTCAGCAATTATCGTGAAATGTGACATTTAAATTTATGTACTAATGTTGATATTAACTTATTAGATTATGAATGAGCATAGGTGTAATGAAATTTTTTAGGAGATATACGGCAATTTTTCGATGTTTTAAGCGATCAGAATTTGCAATGATAAAACAGCCTTGGGCTAGGCCTAGCCTACCAGCTAGGCCATGTGAGTGTGGTCCACGATGGTCGGTAGAATGAAAGAAATAAGAATAAAAATTGCATTTATTAAGTGTTTAGCACTACTAAATAAATATTATTAATAGGTCTAATATAGTTTCATCAGGCCTGGCCCAAGCTTCCCGTATCGTGCCTACCTCCCTCTCTAGCCTCTAGGCCAGACCTAGACTATAATTAGTAAGAATTGAAATTAAATTGAGCATAAATTTATAATTGTTGGACAAATAGATTATATGGATTAAGACTATGATGGTTGAAAGTACAGTATAATTGGGCCTAGGCTTGACTAGGTTTGTCTTGCATTTTAATGTTGCTTTTGATCAACTTTTTTTATCCTTCCATTGATGTCATAGGACTATTCTGTATTTTTTAAAGTTGTCAATTTAATGTTGTTATTATGTTTTAACTTTTATTTATTCATACGCAATTCGGCTATATACTGCAATATTGGCCTAGCCCATGCATTTTGCTGAAAGATTGAATACCTCAATGTAAAAATTGTCATCCATCATGCTATACTGGTATTATTCATTAGGTTTATTTAAAAAAATTGTTTAAAATAAATTACACCCCCCAAAAAACATAAGACCCACAAAAATAACCGGCAATCACCCCCCCCCCCTTTTAAAACTGTGCAACAATCTAATTGTAAAATTTGCAAACTGTGCAGAAACTTGCATTTTTCAAATTGTGCAAAGAAATCACTGCACAGTTTGCAAATTGTGCAGAAGTCTGAAATTGTGCACGAAACCTTGGCTTTAAGCCTTACACTGTAGACTAGTCCTAGTGGTACTAGTAGTAAAGTAGGCTGCAAGTCAAATCGGCCCTTAAACGACTAGGACCATACCAACTCGGCCCTTCACCAACTCGGCCCATGAACTAAACTCGTCCCTTGTCAACTCAGCCCTTAACCGACTTGGCCCATACACCAACTTGGCCCATACACCAACTTGGCCCATGTCATCTCGGCCCATTCACCAACTAGGCCCTTGTCAACTCGGTCATTAAGCAACTCGGCCCATACACCAATTTGGCCTAAATGACTTTGTCCTTGAACCTAGGCCTATTTCTCGTTAAGCATAACTCTTAAAGTACTTTATATAATTTGTGGAAAGAAACGTTACACAAATAAATTCCCATAAATATTACAGTATCACTTTGTTTTACTTATTTTTCGTTTTATACAGAAGAATTAACGCAAATGTTACTGGTCGACTGTTTTGAGACATGCCCTTTTTATCAATTGTTGCGTTACCATTTAATTACGATATGTATTTTAATCATGTTTATTAATGTTTAAATAAAATGGAGATTTATGAAAAATAGTTGTCAAACATTTGTTTTATTGTTTGTTTTTTACGTTTCCATTTACCATAAAAGTTATGTTTCTAATTCTGTACAAGTAAATTCATACTAAATGATATGATGAATGAAAATAAAGAAAATATATAGTATTTTCATACTTTCCATATAAAATTATCAATAATGTTTAATTATAGCAGTACATTTTAATGGCCATTTTATCAGGCTTCTTTTATATTCATAAGCCCGACAAAATCACTCACCGGGCTATTTCTATTTATTTATTTATTCCAAACCAACAGCAAATCATCGCTACTAACAGACAGGCATAAAAATCTAGCAAAAACCACAAACATCATGTGTGACAACAAATTAATATAATATAATTACGGTATTAAGATTTAATACATCATTAAAAGGCTTTCCCATTAAAATATTCCAAAAGCGACTCGATACATGGGCCGAGTTGGTTCATGGGCCGAGTTGGTTAAGGGCCGAGTCGGTTAAGGCCTGTCTCTTATACACATCTAGATGTGTATAAGAGACAGTACTGACAGTGACTGACCCACTACATCATGAAAATGATGCTTCATAAACTCAAAATATTCTTCAGCTCTGTCTAACACTATCTAATTTCCTTTGACAGACATCTGTTGTATGCCCATATTTTGTCATGATGTGCCTATATATGGTCATGATGTGATGTCATCATGACTATATTTAGTCACGTCACATTTTTTTGTTTCACAAACAGCTACACGTCACTGCACTGTACAGCGAGAGAACCCGTCGAGTCACATGCACCTAAAAAAAGGTGAATGAATGAAAGAATTGATCGTTCTGTTCATCAACATTCCAACTGAAATCAACTTTAACTAGGCCTAGATTGAAAATTTATTGAAGATGGATGACGACTTTCCAGATAAAATTCAAACAACTACGACAACTACTGCTCATCATACGACCAACCAAGGGGGAAGTGGTGGTGGCACCTCAGAAGTCGAGAAAGGTCATTTCCGGCCATCTAAGAATCAACATTTTTTCAGGGGAAGACCACCCCCCCATCCCCCATTCTTTTTGGGTTTCTTTTTTTTTAAAAACATTTTGAACCACCATGCTTCAAATCCTGGATCCGCCCCTGGTTAGTAATTGATTCTTTGGTTTTATATGTACGCTTTTTATATGTATTGTTAGATATGAAAAAAATTTAAATCTATCTACTGAAAAGTTGAAAGTTGCAATAATAATAATAAAATGATATTAATAATAATAATAGTAGTAGTATAACATACAAATTCAATAGTAGAAAGATTAAAGGAATCACAACATAAAAGCAGTAAATATTTAAATAATTATAACTTTAAAATACAAACAAAATGAGGCTAAGGCCACGGGAATGAAAGTTGTAGATATGCGTCTACCGCCTGCATGCCTAAAAAGCTACCGCACGAAAATTTTCATTATTTTGAAAAAAAAAAAATTTCGTTTTAAAAAACGGACTTTCTAAGTCGTAAACAGACAGAAAAACGATCTATGCATCACTGATCACTCGTCGTGAACACCGAGCGAAGGCAGGCCTGGCCACATCGCACCATGATCGCCGATCACTGCTGAGGTCATTTACGGGTCAAATCGATCTTTCTGACCAATAGGAAATCTCGTATGTTTAAAGAGG